ATAGAAATCTACTAAAGATGATAAATTTCTGTTAAAAGAGAATAGAATTATTAATTTGATATTATTCGTACAAATTCAGTATTGTAACATTTTTCCAAAATAATAGGTGCCAAAATCTAGACGTGTAGATGTGTGAATATTTATTATGGTGTTCATTTTGTTAAAAACTGAGAAGAAATTTAAGGATACGAAGACAGGGAACAGGGTTTTTTTTTCTTTTTATCGTGGAAGAAAATATGGACCACTTAAGCAATTTTTCTGAAACCATGGGAGTTCCTTACGTTCGACAAATAGGAGCACCCTTGTGTTTTAAAACAGCTTTGTCGGATCAACGTGACTTATTGCTAAGTAATATCTTATTGCGTCGAATATCCTTTGAACGATCGGTTGCATAATTCGATTTATCTCCTTTGATGTTATTGCAATTTTGTGGAACATTAATTGATAAAGATTTAACCGTAATTTTTTGGAATTATGCAACATTAATATTAATAATCAATTTGATCATTCAAAATTTAAATTGAGCCTAAAATTTTTTTATGAAAAGAACTTGAAAACTTGTACAGAATTTGTTATATACAGAGAGGAAAAGAAAAATTACCTATATTATATTTAAGTTACAAAAGAACGAAAATGAAAGTTGTGTAAGATTAAAATTAACTCTCACAGTTTTTCTGTGTCTACCGTCTGAAATTGCAAATTTTGTTCTCTTAAGAACAAAACACATGGAAATTTTATTGTTAGTGAAACATGTACGTTATTTTTCAATAAAACATATTATCTAAAATATATTATCAAACTCATATTATCTAAAAATAATTGATTGATTGATTGACTAATAATATATCAGCTTTTGGGTTCAAATAAAACTAACTGTAAGAGGATCATAGTCGAAGGGAAATTTCTTGTTTTTAATTTTGAAAAAAAAAAATTAAATCTTTTACTTCGTTTTTAGCGAGTATCAAGGGAGTTAAATCGACCAACGTTCGAAATTAAAATATACTTACGTTTTCTTACTATTATTCCTAGTATTTATGTTATTCGCCATTGTAATGAGTAACGAGCAGCTTAAGATATCCGCGACAATCGTACTCATCGAACCTCGAAAGCAGGATCGTCTCACGATTACGTGATATTTCATTATCCTCTGTCTCTTTTTTTTTTT